TATTTATTCATATTTCGATAGCAACATTTCTTTTTACATTTTTTATTTGAATTTACTTTGTCATTTTATTACATGCTATTGCCATTTTATTTAGCTTCTATTTAGCCATTTATTTTTATTTCAGTTTTAGTAATTTTAGTTCTTCAACTTAAACTTTGTTTATTTCAGTTAGTTGCCAAGACAATGTTTCTATCAAATTTGTAAATTTTATTTTTACGCTTTATTTCAATTAACAACAACAATTTGAATAGTTTTAGTTTTAGTTAACAATTAGTTAACAACACTTCAAGAAATGTCTAATTTTTCCTTTAATTATAAAGCTTTATTGAAAACTTTAATAAAATATGTCATAAAATATAAGTTATAGGAATAGTTTGTAAAAAAAAAAAAAAAAAAAAAAAGTAAATTAATTAATCTGCCCTCATTTCTCATGTGTTTTCAAACTGCTATGACTTTATTTCTTCTGTGGAACCCAAAAGGAGATGATATGAATATGTTGTCATTAATACTTATACAGATTAACAGATTTTAAAATTAAAATACAATAAACTGATCATAGTTCACATTATGGCAGATAACCAGTAAATAGACAAATTAGCATGGAATTGTAATATTAGTTAATTCAAAATAAATAATTTCAAATGTTCCAAATGAATTAAGGCGTGACAACATTATAATGCACATTCATTTTCAGATTTGTTAAAAATAACATGTAACAGTGTTATCAAATTATCAGTGTTTTTATAGATTAACTTAAAGAGAGCGTTTAAATGACGGCAAAGGTAAACTAATTGTAAAAATAGGGGAAATGAATGTACTTATTGGTCACTGTATGGAAAAGAGCAGCGTGAACGTTCTTGAAAATGTCTCCTTTTGTTCTCCACTGAAGAAAGTAAGTCGTAAGTTGGGTGAATTGTTCCTTAAAGGACATTTTCTGGTCATGTAAGGACATATAACTGTAGCTTTTGTGGATAAAAACTGTTTACATATTGCCATGTAAAATACTAATGTAGTATTACACCAAATACCTTAATTATCTAGTTCAATTTGGAGCTCCAGGGCCGCATGCTGACGCGGCGCTACAATAATTGATGATATCCGAGAAAGTGATTTTTCACAAGTTGAGGAGAGCAGAGAACTGTCCAAATAGC